GCAAACTAAAACTTTTTCTTTTCTGATTAGGTTGTAGCAGCAAGAAAGCAAAGCCGAAATTCGAAGTTTGTTTTAACGAGATTCCGCCGTCGACGTCGACAAGGTAATCTGGTCGGATTCGAATTCGGCACGGATTTCGAACAGATTTATCTCAGAATTATTATGAAGAAATTGCAACATTTTAATTAATAGGAATTGTAAATAAAAAAAAACGCTGTTTTATACGTTGATAAAACATGAAATTTACTTATAAGTAACTTTGTTCGGTTTGGACTAAAGCCCAACCTGTGGTTTCATAAGAATTGTAGAATGAAAGGTGTCCTGTGAGCATGGTATAAAAAATAAAAGGTAGGATATCAAAAGTGTCAAAAATAGGACGGCCACGCGCATAACGTCACGCGTAGAGTTTGTATAGGCGCGAATTTAAAAATACTGACGAAATGTGAGGAAAATATATGCTACTTACAGAAAGTTAATGAATATTAAGGATACTATTTTAGAAATTACATGAAATATCTATGGATATTATTATAGGATAGTTAAGGAAAGAACTATAAAGGAACATAAATGCAAATACATAAGAGAAGTATTTATTTGAACAGTTTTTTCCTTTTTCTTTTTTTATGATTCATTATGGTTATACAAATTTGACTTCTAAAGACTAGTTTTTATAACCAGGATAATGAAAAGGGTATCTTCGCAACTTGAAACTGGGGATCCTGGTAACAATTTTGCATCTGGATATGCCGGAAATTTTTATCTGATTACTCATTTACCTGCATTAAATTACCCAATTGAATAAAAATAAATTTAAAAAATATGTGTTTTCATATAATATAATGCAGACATTCATATAATATAATGCAAAGCATAAAAAATGTACGAAATACAAATAACAGCTACATAACATATTGTGGGTGCATATACAAAATTAAAATAAAATGTCATTGCAATTTTCCTGGACAAAGTCGCTGACAATTTTTTTAATTCACTCATCAAGTACAAGTCGAAATTTTCTTTTTTTTGCCTCATTTACAATTTCACTTTTGCTTATATTGCGAAATTTTTAGCCTTCAAAGGGTAGAGTCTCCAGTTTAGAAGTCCCAAGTTGCGATTGAACCAATGTGAAGTTCTGATTGGAGGTTCCTCTTATAATTGGAAGGTTGAAAGTGCTTGGAATACATATGAAAATTTATTTGCAGGGTTACGAGCCACTGCAAGGGCTGTTCCATGTCGAATTTTCTTGGGAAGGAGGGTAGAATTGCCTATTTAGCATATTTTTTTTAATAAAAGGCTCATGGATTTTAAGAATTTTAATCTAGGTAACGGCATGCTCCTCTAAGCCTCCGCTGTAGCCGCCCTTGGGCCACTCCTCACTTCTGACTGAGCTCTTACTGTCGAAGAAAGCGAAAAACCATATTTTTCTTAAATCCCTTGCTTTAATTGTTACTGTTACATCCGTACCGCAATTTTTCAAAGTTTTTCACTAAAAACACTTAGAGAGAACAAAGTTTACAACATAATATAATACAAATATCTGTTTAATACCTTATAAATTACTATAAACGACTCCCAAACTACTGCAACATGCGTCTGTCATATGATATTTATTTCGCGCCAACTCTACTAACTCTACGCATGACGTCAGAGCCGCCATGACACCATGCGCGATATCCCCCCCTGTCCTGTGAGTATTTTGGTTCAATAAACTTTGATTGTTTATTGGTTGCATTTGTATATCGATTCTTTTATAGAAGACAAAATTTGCTATTACCTGCTCTTTAGGTTATTTCTTCGGTTCAGATAAGATGACTCAATTTAATTTAATTTTCACTTTGTTAATTTGTCAGAAATTTAAATATGCCAAAGCAAATTTAAAATCAAACACAGACTAGAAGTCTGTTAAATGCACATACTTTGATTTTCTTTTACTATACGGAGAATGGTCGCACTGCGCAGCTTTCTGAGTGCCTTTTAAAAGGAGATAGAAAACGCCGCCATTTTGAACCCTTATTACGTGTTGCCTACATCTTGGCGCAATATTTTTAATAGGTGCGTTTTAATCATCCGCTTCTGCTTCGGAATTGTCGGTTTTCTTGTTTTAATCTGACAGGTTAAAACGACTAAACCGACAATTCCGGAAGCAGAAGCAGATGATTAAAACGCACCTGATATTTTGCTTGCTGCTGTCAGTGTCAGTGAATATTATTTTTTAAGTCACAGTTTATTGCTAAAGAATCAGTTAGCTCACTCGGACCAGTTGAAAGTTCCAAAATAACATCCACTCCAGGGATACAAATTCAGGATACGCGGAAGACTGCTGTTTTATTATAGGCGGTTGTCATATATTGTATTATCCGAGTTTTACAGTGTTTAAACTGAAACATTGAGATCAAAATTGCCGACGCAGAGTGATCGATCTGATTCTTTAGCTGTAAACTGTGTCACAGGGTTCAAAATGGCCGCGCTCTATGTTGCCTCGTATAGTAATCAAATTATGTGGTTAAATGACTTAAATGACAAAGATATTAAAGGCTGATTCAAATCTTAATTATGAAGCCATTACCAATTAAGCTACCGATATTACTCGAGTAGAGTTTACTCCAGAGATAGCCAAAGAACCTACTCTAGGGACGTCGACTGAGCCTACTCTATGGAAATCCAAAAAAGAGACCTTGGCTGCATAACTAGCATATCAGAAGCTGAAATATATTTTTTGGTAAAAGGAGCACCTCGGCCATTAATGGAATACAGAAGGTTTAACTATGACTTAACATCTGCTATGGAAGTAGTTATGATACTGAGATTATTACTTATATGGACCTTCTGGATGTTTACCAGTCGGTGCTGTTAGTAATAAATTATACATGCTACATGTAGTGATGTGGGCCGGGTAAATACCCATCGGGAAGGGTATTTATAAATTGAGTATTTACCCAATGTCATTATAAATACCCAAAACGAGGGTATTTATAGTTTGCAGTGTAAAAACAAAAAGTTCTAGATTTCCCAGACTAAATGTCGTTCGATAGTACTGGAAAAAGTACAATTTTACCAGATCTAACCTCACTGTCTACCATCTACCACTATTATACCAACCATAACCTAACTTTTAGTTGGAGTTTTAGTTTGTGGCAACAGTTATTTATCTTTTAACAACTTTTAACAGAATAATGCTGAAGAAAAAGGCAGTTTTTCAATGAGAAAGATAAAAGTGGTGTGTGTAAATACTGTAATCTTGAATACAAACATTCAAATATTAATAAAATGACGAAATATATAAAGAAATGCTTTAAGTGTCTTAAAGAAATGAAGAAAATTCTTTATTTAGTGCCAACCACTGTATCTACTAAAGTAAACCTATCAATGTTCACGTCCACCCCGAAGAAAAAAACTAAATGTCCCCAACAGGGCCAACGGCTAAAGGAGTTAGAAGTGGATGTGTCTTTTGACCTTTTTTTTTTGTTGGGTGGAAATCCTTTACGGACACCAGGTACATGTTCCTCCTTTCTTTGGTAGTGTGGTGGACTCCTGGCTCAAGTGTTCAAGTCCAGTATACCTCACTAAAATCGCCTCCTGCTCTACAAGTACCGGAACTGTCCTCCAGAGGATATTACTTCATGTACCTGCTGCGGTCTTCTATTTTGTACTCGCATTCTTTCTTCTCTTTCTCAACCATTAACTTCGTTATTATTACAGAGCCAGACTGCGATTTCTCCTTACTCTCTATGAGCTTTTCTATAATTTAAATTCTATAAGTTTGTCCAGAGCAATTTTTGTAAGCGGTACTGCATTGTCTATGGTTGAACACCCACTGTGGTTAGAATTATTTAAACGACTTCGTCCTTCATTCAAATCACCATCCAGGTATCGCCTTTCATCAACTTATATCAAAGCTCAATATACACAAATGTAAAATGAAGTTACAAGCCAGCTAAAGGATTCAAAACACTTACATTTACAATGTGATTGCTGGAGCAACATCAGAAATGAGTCCATTGTAAACTTTGTTTTTTCAAAACCAGAGCCACTGTTTGTGGAGTTCGCCGCAACAAAAGAAAACAGACACAAAGCATCTTAGCTAGCCCAGCTGATATAATCAATATTATTGAAAAAAATGCTGCTGAAAAGTTTTTGGTAATCATTCGGGACTATGTTTGTAACATAAGATGTGCTTTGGCGTTGGTAAAGGAGAAGTATCCATCAATAATACCTCTTGGTTGCCTTGCTCATTTCTTACACGTTCTGTGTGTGATACTGTTAAATATTTTATGGCAACTGTTATTAGCATAGTAAAAACTATCAAGAACAGCCAAGTTTCAATTGGAAAAAAAGTCAAAAAAAAACAGAGTTTCTTTGAAACTGTCCAAGATGGACAAAAACTTGTTTTGTTTACAGAGTTTATTATCAAATAAATCTGTGCTTCAAAATCTAGCTGTCAGTGAAGAAGCAGAAATATCATGAAAAATGAAAAAACAGATACTTGATGACGGTGTGTCTTGGGTCAGAGTTGAAAAAATGGTAAACATCTTAAATCAAATTGTTGAGCTTATCACTGAGCTTGAATCAAACACCCCCGATTCACAATATTTATTCAAAATTTTACACTCTGCAAGAAACCCTTAAACAAGAAATACCATAATCTCCACTTCAAAAGATTGAGGAAAAAATGTGCTTTCAAAGTTATAAAAACGTATTCAATTTTTGGCCACATATCACTTTCAAGCCACTCCAGTGACGAAATCTACTCTAAGCTAGAATATTCAGACTTAGATTATGTCATCATATTGTACTGTTTGAATTACAAAATAAATTTAACACAATTTTATATTTTACAAGGTTTAACTTACTACGAGCCGTGATTCGCTTTAAATTCATAAATATCCGGGTACTTATGAATTTTGGGTATTTATCCTTATAGTTATACCTGTGTGTTTCACATCACTAGGTACATGGTAAAGGTTCAACGATAAAAATCATTAGAATAATGAAAGTTTCAATTTATAATAAAAATATTTTATTAACAATGATAACTAAACAAAACTGTACACACATTCTGTACGTTCTAATTTTCCAAAAGTATGAGCAATTTTTAAATACATACCTACAATTAAAAATTAATTTAAATTACTAATATAATTCTGTACGAATCTTAAAAGTACATGGAAAACATCGATTTTAATTATTAAATACCAGAATAGGAACGAAAAGAAGATAGTCCTTACTGCCATGTCCAAATACCATAACCTAAAATAAAATTAAAAAAGTGTATAAGTATATTATAATGTAGTGGTAATTGAATAATTGAAGAAAGGTATTCAACTGCATTAATACCATCTTAAACAGTATGACAATAACTCAAAATCAATCCCACATCAAAAAAAAAATATTTTACTACCAGTTTCAGCCATAGCTCATCATTAGGTTTTATATTTTATATTCATATTAAATTATTAATGTCTTCTAACTGAAAACACTATTGATTTTAAGAAAATTTGATTTAACTTTATTGTTTTAAATTAATTGTTTCTAAAATGCAATATATTTCTTATGCAACAATCAAATGATTAAAAAACAACAAAAATTAGATAAAATACATTGAAAATTTACCTCGTCAAATGCCTCATTCCCTTTTCCCTATTGAACTCTTCTTTCAATATATATTTTGCCGCACCCATTTTTCCGTTTTTAAAATATTCGAATATGTCCTCGTTGGTCCAATCTTTTATCTTCACGGTGAACATTGTTTTCTCGTCGTCATCTTGTAAGGTATCAAGAAGCGCGATATATTTATCGTTCATAAATTCCCACGAGTTGTTCATGAAGTAGAAAAGGACGTTATTGGCTATGTAGATTTTTCTCTGTATCGTGAATAACCTGAAAAACGTTCGATAGAGGTGAATTTGAAATATTTTTTATTCGATTTCAAAAATTTAAAAACCAGTTAAAATATAAATAAAAGTACACAATTTGATATTTTTAGATTTTCAAAATCAGTTCATTAATAAGTTCAATAACATGCGACAAAGTATGTAAATTGTGTCTAAAAAATACAGAAATCTTTATGTGAAACATGGTACGAAAAACATCTCTAGTCTTTCAATAAATAGTAAAGATTCTTTTAAGGGAACGTGGGTTTGTATAAATGATATATAATAATGATTAACCTTATTTGTTTTTTTTAATAGGTAAATAGTTAAAAAAACTAGAATGAAAATATACAGTGTGATCCAACGAAAAGTATCGACTTCCCTTTTCTTGGTTCCCTTAGATTTAAAGAAGAAATGCTCGGACACGTCGATTTTTGTTTGAAGGGGAACACATTTGTTTCTAATTGCATCATTGACACTTCAACCCTCGAGCAGTGGGGTGAACAATCCCTAGAATTTAGATAGCGAAAGTACTAAGTGTGGCACATTTTTGAAAGGGTAATTTTATAAGAAATTCACTAATACCAATATTGTTGTGTTAAATTTCGATTTTGATATTATTTTTCTGAAGAAAATAAATGGATGTTAGACACGACGTGACCAGCAAATCCCGCATTTGAATTGATCAGGTGCTATACGGGGCTCTTAAAGAGAAATTCTGAGGAATTATAATACTTACATCGGTTTCCTACCAGCCAATCGCAGCACTATATCTAAGATGAAAGCGGGCAGCATATGAAACAACAACACTTGGATGTAATAATTGTACCAACATTTCGTCATCGAAAACCTCGGGTTCCATAAAATTTGATTGAATGGGCAGTCTTTAATAAGTTCGGCACCCATATCGACTACTTCGCCCATCGTGACTGTGTGTATGTCGTGTTGGGCAGCATTTAGGACTTCAATTTCGTTAATATTCCTTAGAAAAAATAATAGAAATCGTAATAGTAAAAATAGTTTTCATAGTCAGTGACCGACACCACAAAGCACGTATTCTCTAGAGATCCCACGCCAATGTTAGACTTTTAAACCAAATTAGCGTCACCTTGTGTTTGGAGCAGGAACTAAAATGACAATTGGCAGATGGCGGTAAATTCAATTTATAATTTTTAGTAATAGGTAGTAATTCTAAATTAAATTTTAAATGATTTCCACATTAATTATTTTATTAAATAAAGTATAGAACTAGTAAGTTCAAAATAATTATTTAGGTCGATATACCAAATTTAAGGAATTAATTTGTAGAGTTGATTTTGCATATTATTATTAAATAAATATATGACATATCAATAAATAATAAATAGAACATTCTTAAAATATGTTTATTAATAACTTAAAAAAATATTAATAGAACAAAATAAATACAAATAATAATACATATTTAACGAATACTTACTTGGAGCAAATGTGTGTCTGAAAAAGTTGGCAACAAATGGAAACTTTTTTATTATTAAGTTTAGGAAAAAACGTCATTCTTCATAAAAAGTTCTGTAAGGCCTAAAACCCAATATACGATAATCAGATATCGAAATTTTCCAATCGTATACGAGGTTTGTCAAAAAGTATGAATTTTGCTCAAGAGTAAAGTACCTTTATTTTCGACAATATCTAAAATTGTTATTAAGAAAAGTTGATTAGAATTGAAAACTACGTTTAAATGTCTAATTACAGCTATCTACGATAAAAACCAGGTTTTATTATTGTTTACAATTTCTTTAAGATCGAAAATGATCAAAAACTAGGTATCTAAATTATTGACCTGTACAAAATCAAGTTGCTGTGGAAATGTTTTGAAACATATCTTATGTCAGTATGCTTCAAAACCTCAGATATCGATAGAAATTAAAAATTATGTTCATGTGCACTTACTGATTACACCACTCATTTTCTCATTGCAAATTTTGCTATAAATATTGACTTTGTTTTGCACGAGTTATCAATAATACAATGTAAACAAATGCATACATAATTAAAATCATTTATTTTCAAAACACAACATCAAACATTACATGCATGAAAAAGAATAATCCGGATTAACTTTTCCCTCACTGCACGTACGCCTCAACATATCCACCGTCCCTTTCTAAGCAGGTAATTGTTCTTCGAGAGAATTCTTTTATTGCATTTCTAATAACATCTGGAGTAACACCGTCACATGTTTCCCTAATTATTCTTTCCAAATGATCAATATTTTCAAACGGTCTTTTAAGGTATACCTTTTGCTTCAAGTATCCCCATAAAAAGAAGTCTAGGGGGGTCAGGTCCGGAGATCTTGGAGGCCAAGCAAAGTCCACAAATCTTCCAATTACTCTTCCGTTAAAAATTTGTAGAAGACATTCTCGAACATTTCTTGTACTATGGCAGGTTGCTCCATCATGTTGGTACCATGTACGTTGCCTTTCCATTATTGGTAGGTTATGAAGAAATTCAAGAATCTCATTATTTAAAAATTCCAGATAACGTTCAGCATTCATATTAGTTCGAAAAAAAAATGGTCCAATTATTCTATCTTTAAAAATTCCACACCATACATTTGTTTTAAAACAGTATTGGTCACGAGTTTGGACAGTGAAATTAGGATTAACATCACTCCACCAACGGCAATTTTGTGAGCTGACTACCCCATTAGAAGTGAACGTTGCCTCGTCCGAAAAAATTATGCACCGTGCCATATAATTATTATCTTCTAACTCCCCTTGGAACCAAGCACAAAATTCAAATCTTCTATTAAAATCTCCTGCTTTTAGGGTATGAGTGAACTGGGGTTTGTAAGGTTTAAATTTGTTTGCTTTTAATATTCCTGCAACTACGTCTTTGCGCACACCAAGTAAAGCTGCCCTTTTTCTTATGGAATCTTTAGGATTTTCTATTGCTGAGAGCATTACTTGATTTTGAATTTCTTCAGTAGCAACCCATGCCTCATGTTTCTTTTTGAATTTATTCTCAACATTTCCGGAACACTTGAACTTTTTTATTATTTTACTTACTGTTGCAAAATGTACATTTTTATCAGGATGTCTGTTATTAAAGATTATGGCAGCTTCCCTATAAGTTTTGTAGTTATCTCCAACAATTAAAACAATTTCAATTTTCTCTTCAAGACTTAATTTCAACGGCATTTTTACTAGTATTTAAAAAAGTACAATGATTACAAACTGAGGTTTTGAAGCATACTGACATAAGATATGTTTCAAAACATTTCCACAGCAACTTGATTTTGTACAGGTCAATAATTTAGATACCTAGTTTTTGATCATTTTCGATCTTAAAGAAATTGTAAACAATAATAAAACCTGGTTTTTATCGTAGATAGCTGTAATTAGACATTTAAACGTAGTTTTCAATTCTAATCAACTTTTCTTAATAACAATTTTAGATATTGTCGAAAATAAAGGTACTTTACTCTTGAGCAAAATTCATACTTTTTGACAAACCTCGTATACGATTGGAAAATTTCGATATCTGATTATCGTATATTGGGTTTTAGGCCTTGCAGAACTTTTTATGAAGAATGACGTTTTTTCCTAAACTTAATAATAAAAAAGTTTCCCATTTGTTGCCAACTTTTTCAGACACACTATACAATCTCAAATCATTAAAATATCAATATATTTAAATGTGAAGTAGAAACTAGGATATTACTTTTTATTAACAGTACAGTTATATTTCATAAATGTCTTTTTACCTGAGGATAAATGTAACATAGGTATGAAAACAGAAAGAAAAATGAGAATAACCCAAAAACCTAAATACACGTTACATCTTTAAATTCTTTGGTTAAGTTTTTCAGTTTTCACATTTTCACCCATAAAAATTAAAAATGAAGTAAAAAATTATAATTTCACCAGTAACCCCATCTAGTGTTTGGAGTCAATAGCATAAGAAATGTCAGTTGTCGGTTTTGACCTTGGTCATTCACGTGGAACCTCTCTCTTTGTGCTTTGTGGCTGACACTGTATATTCTAATTGTGAGATTATAAATAATTTAATAATTTAAATATTTCGTCGCATTTTATGCAATGAAGTTGATACAATGGAGCAGTTGCGCACTTACCTTTTTATCCCATAATGATTTGTAGCTAGAATTAGTCCTTTAATTACATAATCTACGGGCATATAATCAGGGGTGGCATCTCTATTTCCTAATACTGTTCGTAATACACCTAAATAGAAATAAAAGTTATTTCCAGTAATTTTATTTTACAAATTAGACAAGTACCTTTCCCTCCTGCAACCAATAATCCTACTGGACCGTTGAAATTATCGTTCCATCCCGCTATGGGATCGTCTCTCGTAGATATTACTGCAAACAAAAAAATATAAGTATTCCATTACATGTCTATAATTTTTTTCTATTTTGCGTTATTCGTCTCTTTTAACCGAATCAGAAACTTCTGGTAAATCCAAAAAACATCATACGTCTAAGATGCATACAACATTTTATAATAGGCAAATTAGATTCAACATTTTTTCCAATATTGTCAAAATTATTGATTCGGTTTCAATGAGACAAATGGCATCAACGTAAAATGTCATATAGACATAAAACTTATCGAAAAAACATGCGTAATAGTACAGAAGAAAGAAAAATACAGAAAAGAAACGTATGGCTAGTTCCACCACAAAGATACTCTCATAAAACGTAACTATTCACCGTATACCTAGCTATGTGGTGTACTGTGAATAGATACGTTTTCTCAGAGTATCTCTGTTGTGGAACTAGCCCTAATTTTCTTTTCTGTATTGTTCTTTATTCTGTGGTAATAGCATCGCCTAAAGGATATACCTTTACATCTTCATTATTATTAGTTCCATTTGAATGGAGAAAACCTCCAAGCAATTACTACTAGAGAAGTTTCCGAAAATTCTATAAAAAAATCTAATTGTCATAATATTAAACATAAACAGCGGCAACGTTGCGGTGAGCGATCTGCCGCTGACGCCATAAAGCTAGAATAGGCTAGAACCGACCAGCCGGACCAGCGCGTTAGTGTTCGAGAACGATCAGGATTGCTTTGAACGGGATAAATACGCACGGCGCGGCGACATTGCGCTTAGTTTAAAACTGAACGCGTAACCAACGTCCAGCGGTTGGGTTAGTAGAGAACAACAAAAAATAATATTATGGCAAGCAGATGTAAGAAGGTAAAGACATACCACTTTCATTCGGAATGGGAAGAACAATACTTTTTTACAGAAGTTAAAGATAAAAATGTGTGTTTGTTATGTAATACTTCGGTCTCCGTTGCTAAAAAAGGAAATATTGAGAGACATCATAAAACTGTACATTCTAATTTTGAAAAATCATTCCCACTACATTTTGCCGCCAGAAAGGAGAAACTGAAACCGTTAAAAAAGCAGTTAATTGAACAACAATCAATATTTTTAAGAACAGTCGACAAAAATAAGGCTGCAACTGAAGCATCGTACCGTGTGTCCCAGATAATTGCACAAAAAAAGAAACCTTATGAAGACGGGGAAATAATAAAACAGCTATAAAATCTATGCAACTTTCTGCTAATACAGTGATGGAGACGTGTAGAAGTAATGAGCAATGATATTTTTTTACAGTTAAGAACTGACTTAGATAACTGTGTTTATTTTTCACTTCAACTGGATGAATCAACAGATGTCGTTGACACTGCCCAGATGGCCGTGTTCGTCAGGATGGTTTTTAGTGATTTTACGATTAAAGAAGATCTTTTGAAGTTTATTCCACTAAAAGGACACACTACTGGACAGGAGTTGCTTTTTCATTCAAAAAATATTATTTCTTCCGAGAAAATTCCAATATCGAAAATGGCGCTCCAGCTATGGTGAGTTGTGATAAGGGTCTGGTGGCGTTATGTCGTAAAGATGAAACTTTTCCGCAATTTCTCTGTTACCACTGCATTATCCATTAGCAAGCATTATGTGGAAATTTCCTGAAACTAAACAACGTTATGAAACTGGTGGTAAAAATTGTGAACAAGATTAGAGCTCAAGCGTTACAAAGAAGATTATTCAAAACCTTGGCCGATGAAGTTGACTGTCAATACGGGGACCTACCTACTTACGGGTGCTGAAACCACTGTTATAGTGCATTTAAAACAACTTAGTCTTCTCATAACAAGTTCTTTTGGACCAAATCTGGACCATACCACTTGATGCACTTGCATCGTGCCTTTGAACACAGGTATTTTTGTCTTGACAGCTTGCGACAATAATAGTTTTTTTTTTTTCATTGTAATATATATATATATACATTTCTGTTCGCTCTTTCAAGACTTCTACAAAATTCTTAAAATCAGGGATATCTTTATCCCGACTATTTGGTCTGTAGTTCTTTTTAGTACTCCTTCAATATCATCAGGGGCACCTTTACCGTGTCTTGCTTCATGATAATTCCATGTAGCGTACGTAATATCAGGAGATAAGTCTTGAACGTGGTTGGACAAAATATAAAACATATGTTTGTTTCTATATTGTGTAGATGGAGAATCAGACAAAAAATGTAAAATATTAATATTGGGTGATGTATTTTGTACAAACTGAAGCAATGGCTGTAAATGTGTCCATATTGAGGTAGCATTGTGCTGTTAACTTTCACTAAGAGTACAAAAAGTATAAATACTAAGTTTAGAAGTTTTTTTCTGATATCAAATAGATTACGGCTGTATGAAGTGTAATCTGTAGCCTACTTCCTTCAAAATGAAAGGATTGAATTTTCTCGCCATATTTTAAAGAGTAATTTTTGCTAAAATTTACATGAATTAAAACTTTTTTCAAATTCTGTTTCAATTCGGATATGGAATTATAGTGAGCGATTATATTAGTTTCATGTTTTCTAAATTGGGAGAACTGTTTTTCAAGTAAACTGCAAAATTGTTTACGTGTCAGAAAACATTTTTCCTTTAGCGTTACAGTAATTATTTTCTCTTTACCTGTCTTCAATGTGTAGAACTGTTTTTTAGTACGCCATTCCCAGTAAGAGAACTCTTCAGAATCGTCGAATGTAAGGAAGGTGATCACTTTTTCCATGCATTTGGTAGTTCTTCTCAAGACACTTTGTAACTTTATCCTGACAGCACATTAGTGTCTCATTAGTTTTTTTGGACGACTTGAAAGAAATTATCTTAGCATTAAACATTGCTGAAATGAGTAATTCCATATTTTCATGGGTTTTACATTTGCAGGTGTATCACGTGCGGTGACCTTCATGTATTTTACAAATATGGCCAAGGTTTTAGTTGCACAAAAAGCATTTATAAAACATTTATGCTTTAAAAACAGTAACAATAAAGCAATTTGCTTAACTTTTCCATAATTTACAAGAATTTATTGTCAATTGTCTACGAAGGTACTTTCTAATGTGGTATACCTAATCCTGTACTATTTAACATAATTTAATATAATTACCAGACTTAAAGAACCAGTAGTTTCTATTACAGTCAAAATATTACTCTAGAAGAATAAATCATGGCGAATCAAATACAAAATAACTTAGACGCATTTTGCCAAATTATAAAGTTGATAAAAATATAGTACCAGGACAGTTGGAATTTTCATGTGTTTATTTGCATTTTTATAATTTTTTAATACTTTTCTTCGAAATGCACCACTTTTTTTAATCTTTTTCCAGCGTGAGATGTCCATTTTGTTAACTCAAACATCAGCAAGCCAATAACGCGTTAAAAGAGAAATAATGAAATGTTTTAAATTGGCTCTATTAAACCAGTGGCAGGAATATTTTTGTGTTCTTTGAGAGATTTTACGTCATTGATGTTTTTTTAGTGTTACTAATACAACAGTAATAGAGATATTTAAAGAATACTTTGTAATTGCTATGTTTGCTCTCTTAAATATAGTTCTTTATAGTTGAAATGAGAGTATTTTATGTTTGTTGAAACAATTTTACTTTACACATGTTGCACAAATTGCCTTGACAAGAAAATGAGGCGACTTCCCTTATAAGTGTTGAATATATAACCAATGTATCTTATTGTTATATCAAACAGCATGCTGTATAAATGTGCACGTTTTTATATTCATACTTACCTTTAAAATGTTACTAAAGACAAATATAAATAAATCAAAAAGCCTTAAAAAAAATTGGTGGTATAGATACGACTTATAGCTGTTCTTAAGCAATACTGAGTATCTCTTGTAAGAAAAATTTATAACATATAATAAATATGCGCTAAGAATATTTATATAACAATAAATATTATAGTGCTATTTTATTTTCAACAGCTAAATTGTATCATTTGCTATATTTATGAATTAATATTGAATTTTTGAAACAACTATAAAACCTTAATAAGAATTGAATATTCTATAATTCAAGAAGTGTGCTGGTTGGGTGGGTTTCGGGTATTGTTGAAGACCCAGTATAAGTTTTAATCATTTTGCTCTTTATCGTATTGTTGATTATTTTTAATTTCTACTCGATTATTTACTTGACAGAACCAGTTTTCGTTATATAAATCGAAAGTGTTTAAATATCAGGAATGAAAATTAAAAATTTTTCCATTATCAGTACGACTCCTATCCTGTAGTCTTCATAATATAAAATAAAACAACTTAAACTGTGCAAACTCACCTACTGACGGTCTAACAATAATTGCGGGTATCGTTCCCTTACACAAGTCATCGACGACGTGCTCTGCAAGAGATTTAGCGAACGTGTATGTGTTCGGTAATGGACTCAAGTATTTTTGTGTCATGGTGTTTAAAGTATTTTCGTCGCATTCCTCCGCAAGTTTGATGGCGTCTCTCCAGTCAGTATGGGCCGGATAAATTTTTTCCTCGATTATTTTTTTGTCTAAAAAAATGTTCATAATATTGAATATACTATATGAAAGCATACATTATAAAGCAAGTATTACACCTTTACTTCAAAAGTGACACAACTCAATATTCATGTCTTTTGAGTTAATACCATGATGCGATTAGTAAACAACCCTGCACCAATCATCAAAATTAGCTTAGAAAATAATCGTCTGTATCATTTTTAAAGTTTTGATATACTAATCCCATTCATATTATTATGGTAATTTTGAAAGAGTAAAACCAAATTTGGTAGATTTTCACACTTTTATTTTAAAAATAAAAATTTTTAAACAAACACTAACATGACATATGTTTCGAAGTACAACTTCTTTTTCAAATGTGACTATTTACAATTCGGTATCCAATATATATACAAAATAATTTAACAAAACAAAGTACTTAAGAAAACATCAATAACATTACAAAATAAACTAACTATTTAAAGTAAATAAGGGTACTTAGGTAATTATAATATCCATCAAATAACAATAAGATAGCCCATTACCGGGATTATCTCACAGAAAACTGGGAAAAAGGTTTAATAAGGGTGAATTATTAATATCTAATTGATCATTTAGTAAGTTATCTGAATTTTTAAATCTATTTATTTCAAGTGTTTCTAAATGGTTTAATTTAAGGCTCTTATTTTCTACATGTAAAATTTCAAAGTTGTCTGTAAAAGAATGATTTTCAGCTAAAATATGATTTGAGTAAGTAGAATTATTTTTGTTTTTTGTATAGCTATTATAATGTTCGGAATAGCGTTTTTTGAAAGTACGGCCTGTTTGACCAATATACAATTTTGGACAACTACCACAATTTAATTTATATACCCCCGATTTATTATTAGGATTAATTTTACCCTTATTGTTTTTAATATACTTCCCAAGCGTATTATTGGTTTTAAAAGCTACGTTAATATTTTGGTTTTTTAAATATGATGATACCTTTTCACTAGGAGCTCCTATATGAAAAGGTATCATCATATTTAAAAAACCAAAATATTAACGTAGCTTTTAAAACCAATAATACGCTTGGGAAGTATATTAAAAACAATAAGGGTAAAATTAATCCTAATAATAAATCGGGGGTATATAAATTAAATTGTGGTAGTTGTCCAAAATTGTATATTGGTCAAACAGGCCGTACTTTCAAAAAACGCTATTCCGAACATTATAATAGCTATACAAAAAACAAAAATAATTCTACTTACTCAAATCATATTTTAGCTGAAAATCATTCTTTTACAGACAACTTTGAAATTTTACATGTAGAAAATAAGAGCCTTAAATTAAACCATTTAGAAACACTTGAAATAAATAGATTTAAAAATTCAGATAACTTACTAAATGATCAATTAGATATTAATAATTCACCCTTATTAAACCTTTTTCCCAGTTTTCTGTGAGATAATCCCGGTAATGGGCTATCTTATTGTTATTTGATGGATATTATAATTACCTAAGTACCCTTATTTACTTTAAATAGTTAGTTTATTTTGTAATGTTATTGATGTTTTCTTAAGTACTTTGTTTTGTTAAATTATTTTGTATATATATTGGATACCGAATTGTAAATAGTCACATTTGAAAAAGAAGTTGTACTTCGAAACATATGTCATGTTAGTGTTTGTTTAAAAATTTTTATTTTTAAAATAAAAGTGTGAAAATCTACCAAATTTGGTTTTACTCTTTCAAAATTAAATGGATTTTCATCAAGTAAAGGCCGAAACAATAAATAATATTATGGTAATAACTCGGAAGATGTTAATTTTGAGTTGTGTCATTTTTAAAGAAAATATACGATTATCGTTTTTTTTTTTTAATTAGTTTATACAAATCTACCAATTTCTCACCTGTATTACAATAAGTCGTGGATACATGAACGAAGAGCGAAATATTTGTCAGTTCCAACGCCAATTTACATATCTCCCTGGTGCCTCTGACATTGATGATGAGTGCTGCTTTAAGGAAATCATCGAAACGTACCGAAGCTGCCGTATGATAAATGATATTGACTTTTTCGATCAGCATTTTCCTATCTGCATCGCTCAATCCTATAAAAAAACCAACAATCCACGGTGAATGACAGTTTTTATAACTCCCATTTGAAAACAAAAAAAAATATAGATAAACTACTAATCAAAGATGTCGGCATCAATGTGGATTTTACTAGAGTTTCGGGTATTGTTAAAAATACAAGGCATTTTTATTATTTTACTAATCAATGAGGGTATTGCATTACATTATGATTACTACTTTATACTTTTATTTTTATTACCATTTCCTAAATTCATTTTTAATATTTTTTTTATTAAATTGCTATTATTATATATAAAATCAGTTCTATAAATCAATTTTTAAGTTTTCTAATTATTATTATTTTATATATAAAAATTTATTCACTGTTTAGGGGTTAAGTGGAGTAGCTTAGCTAGAGTTTTCCTCTATATATTTTTATGTATTTTATATTACAATACAAAATAAAGGAACTTTATTGTTATTGATAGTAAAATAAATTTACTGTTTCATAAATTAAATTTTTTTAGTTTTATTTTTAAATGGTTAGTAAATTATAATAATAAATAAATGAAAATTAGATTCTTAAAAGCTAAAATAAACTGTGATTATCATAATTGTACTTTTGACAGGTTAGCAATATTTTCTTATACATACACTAGAGGAATTTAACTCATACTTTGATCAATTTTAGTCATTTTTCTGGAAAGTTAATACACTGTGTTCAAATCAAATTTAATCGCCATTTTAGAAAACGACTCTTGAAATTCGATTAAATCAAATCTGCATAGAATTTAACAACTACCTTGGGTAAATAGATATACTGACCTAAATTTAAATCACAGACGTCTCCTTTGACAGCTATTAACTTTTTAAGGGCTTCCGGATTTTCTTCTTTAAGCTTATCGAATAGCTAAAATTTAAATAAGAATCATAAACAAGAATTGTGTCAAATACAACTTCTGTATGTTGTCATAGCAAGGTAAATTTGACACTTGATAGTACTACTTTAAAGACTAAATTATTAATTTTCTGGTAAAGATACGATAAATTTTAACCCCATGTGGCGCGTACTTTCTTATTATTAATACAAATTAACCCCTTGATACTTAACACCTTGATTGCCGCGAGAAGCACATGTGCTTTGAAGACTTTTATTATACCTTGGCCGTGAGAAGCACCAGTACACAGGGTACAAGCTTTTTAGGGCCTTGTGAACTATCTTATGCATTTTACTCGTGTTTTCTCGGACCTACGTTGTTCTAAAAGTTTTATTTCATGTGTGACCCAAAACACTTTATTTTTATATATTATGATGGTAGTTAAGATGTTAACAAGTGATGCACAACATGACAATGCTGTTTTTTTTTTGGCAATAGTTCAAATTTCAATAAAAAATTAATTTTTTGACGTTAACCTTTAGGTTTTGAAGTTTTATATATTTTTTTATTTGACAAATTTTCACTGAATTTTTTATAATGCCTGACTATATACTTCATATCCAGGACTCCAAACAATGGACATATATTCTAGCTTACTACGTACAAAAGCGCTAATAATAGTTTTTAAAGTGTTAGGCTCAAAGAACTGGCGTTCATTTCGAATGACAAAACCCAAATTTCTGTATGCTTCTGTCTGAATAGTATTGACATGTTCAATAAAATTTAACTTAGCGTCGAAAAGAACACCAAGATCTTTAAAAGAAAGACATTGATTGATGTTAGTATTGTTGACAGTAAAATTATACTCAATCGGATTTATTTTACGAGTGAAACTGATAGAATTGCACTTAGATATGTTTAGTGGAAAGTTGTTAGAATTACACCAAAGGTTCAATTTATTTAAGTCCTCTTGCATAATCAAACAGTTAACAATACTGGAGATTGATTTAAACAATTTTAAATCATCGGCATATATTAGTCTTACATGATAGGTTTTCAGTAATGTCATTTAAAAAGATGGAAAATAAAAGTGGTCCTAGAACTGAACCTTGAGGGACACCGGAAGAAGCTTTTATACAAATTGACTGAAAACCATGGTATTCAACTTTCAATTTACGATTACTTAAATATGATTCAAAGAAACGCAGAAAAGGCGTTGTGAGCAAGGTTGCCAACGGGTCTTTACCGATTTACTCTCAAAAACTTTACCGGATTACTCACAACTTCAAAATATCAATATTACTAGTTTTTTTTATATAAATCGTATATTATGTACTCGTGCACTTTGGTTTGAATTTATTTTACTACTGTGTAATGTTGTCAAACATCAAAAGAGAAATTTTCAGAATATACAAAAGTCAAAACAGATGCACCTTTTTTCTGTGCATTCACTATTTTAATAATCAGGTTGATACATAACTATTGAGACTTAGGCTAAGGGCAGGTTATTTAGACAAAAATATGGCGATAGGATCAAATGTAACTTATTAAAATATTGATGTGGATAAGATAAGATAAGGGCGTTAAATTTGAATTGTTTTTTCGTTTTTTTCTGATATTACTGTATATGAATTGTTATCAAAATCGGCACAAAGGCATATCTTTGAAAAAGAAATAATGTTGTATCTATTATTTCACATTTTGTTACAGGAGAAGCTACGTGACTGATTCCTGATGATGAAATTAAGTGGTAGCTTTTTTTTGACGAAACTGTTTAGTATTTTTGATTAGAAAATTTCACATGTTTTCGAGAAAAACGCAATTAAACGGCTCAAAAACTATTTCATTTATGAAAAGATTGCTTTGCAGTGTCAGATAATTTACTGTTAGATTATAGTCTATTATTATTATTATTATTATTATTATTATTATTATTATTATTATTATTATTATTATTATTATTATTATTATTATTATTATTATTATTATTATTATTATTATTATTATTATTATTATTATTATTATTATTATTATTATTATTATTATTATTATTATTATTATTATTATTATTATTATTATTATTATTATTATTATTATTATTATTATTATTATTATTATTATTATTATTATTATTATTATTATTATTATTATTATTATTATTATTATTATTATTATTATTATTATTATTATTATTATTATTATTATTATTATTATTATTATTATTATTATTATTATTATTATTATTATTATTATTATTATTATTATTATTATTATTATTATTATTATTATTATTATTATTATTATTATTATTATTATTATTATTATTATTATTATTATTATTATTATTATTATTATTATTATTATTATTATTATTATTATTATTATTATTATTATTATTATTATTATTATTATTATTATTATTATTATTATTATTATTATTATTATTATTATTATTATTATTATTATTATTATTATTATTATTATTATTATTATTATTATTATTATTATTATTATTATTATTATTATTATTATTATTATTATTATTATTATTATTATTATTATTATTATTATTATTATTATTATTATTATTATTATTATTATTATTATTATTATTATTATTATTATTATTATTATTATTATTATTATTATTATTATTATTATTATTATTATTATTATTATTATTATTATTATTATTATTATTATTATTATTATTATTATTATTATTATTATTATTATTATTATTATTATTATTATTATTATTATTATTATTATTATTATTATTATTATTATTATTATTATTATTATTATTATTATTATTATTATTATTATTATTATTATTATTATTATTATTATTATTATTATTATTATTATTATTATTATTATTATTATTATTATTATTATTATTATTATTATTATTATTATTATTATTATTATTATTATTATTATTATTATTATTATTATTATTATTATTATTATTATTATTATTATTATTATTATTATTATTATTATTATTATTATTATTATTATTATTATTATTATTATTATTATTATTATTATTATTATTATTATTATTATTATTATTATTATTATTATTATTATTATTATTATTATTATTATTATTATTATTATTATTATTATTATTATTATTATTATTATTATTATTATTATTATTATTATTATTATTATTATTATTATTATTATTATTATTATTATTATTATTATTATTATTATTATTATTATTATTATTATTATTATTATTATTATTATTATTATTATTATTATTATTATTATTATTATTATTATTATTATTATTATTATTATTATTATTATTATTATTATTATTATTATTATTATTATTATTATTATTATTATTATTATTATTATTATTATTATTATTATTATTATTATTATTATTATTATTATTATTATTATTATTATTATTATTATTATTATTATTATTATTATTATTATTATTATTATTATTATTATTATTATTATTATTATTATTATTATTATTATTATTATTATTATTATTATTATTATTATTATTATTATTATTATTATTATTATTATTATTATTATTATTATTATTTAACGACCTGTATCTTATTCCACAGCAATATTTTATTAGGGTATATTTGGCCATATCGCCGTATTTTGGTCCAAATAACCTGCCCTTAGCCAATGTACCAATAGTTATGAATCACCCTGTATATAAAACATCTTTTTAATCAGTTGGACAAAAACACAGATAAAAAGGATTGGAGAATTAGAGTATCTTCTTTATTAACGGGCCAAATCATAATAAATCATTAATTCTAATACTTGAAAAAAAAATCTACCAATAAAAAATATATTTTTAAAATGAACAAATAAAAGATTAAACGACGATTGGGACAGTTCCAATGGGACTATCACTATCGGCACGACACCTAGTGTTGTAAAATATAAAAATCACTTTTACTCTATTACATTGGTCAAGGAATAGAGGACGCTGCAATTTTAAAACTACAAAATTGTAATGACTGATACAAGTGCTAGGGGGGTAAAATTAGGCTTATATTAAGATTTTTAAAAAGAACATGGTTTCAATATATTATTCGATTAGGATTTAGCCTAACTACCAAGAACATATCCACGCTGACTTCCCGATTACTCACAATTGCCCTTTGCTCACAAAATTACTCACAGACTAGTAAATTACTCACAAATGTGAGGAATTACTCACAGATTGGCAACCCTGGTTGTGAGTCCAACAATGAAAAGTTTGTTTAAAAGTATACTATGATCGTGGCGATCAAAGGCCTTTTTTTGTTTATTATTGACTTTTTCATAAGTGTTTTACATTTTCTAGGACATTTGATTTTCTTATTGGTGTCGTGTGCGCGTGTGGGATCTGTTGCGCGTGTGGGATCTGTGTGGCCTGTTGTGTTCCCCAAAAATATCGCCAATTTCGTTATTTTCAACCCCATAAATGGACAAGTCTAAGTATAGGGTGGGGAATATTATTTAGGAAAACCACAAAACCTAAATTACGATATTGTACATATATTGTGAATTTTTAATTATATGATTGGGAAGGATTTATCTGATACTTAGGGGGGCTGATTCCAACAGATCCTGGAGTTCAACGGTGAGGGGGAGGTCTTGGGAGTCTGAGAGAAGTCTCAGATTAGGTTGTGGCATTTTTCTTTACGGTTTTCGAAAAAGTGGAAGTTAGTTAGGGCGCCATGGGGTTCGTAGAGTGTCTTGTGAGTGTGTGTTGGTGCCTTTCAGCGTGCGAGACACGTATTGTTTTCTGAGGGTTTGGAAACATGTGAGGATGGGGGTGTTGGAGATGTTTTAGAAAACTTCTCCGCTGGGGGAGTGAGAGGGGACATATTGGCAACGTCTCAGAATACGTCTCTCGAGTGTGGTGAATTTGTGGGACAGGTGTGTGGGAAGTATCAAAGGCCTTGGAAAAGTTAGTATATATAGCTTCAACCTGGCCACCCCTATCAAGGTATTCCGCAACATATTGTGTAAAGCATATCAGATTGGTAGCTGTGGATCTGCCTGGAAAAAAAGACGTGCTGTGCCGTAGATATGATCGATTTTACATGAGCGAAAAGTATTTCATAGATGACATTTTCGAAAACTTTTCCGAAATTGCAAAGGATGGATATAGGTCTGTAATTTTCTATGATAGATTTGGATTCTTTTTTAAAGATTGGAGAGCTTTTAGATATCTTTCAATAACTTGGAAAATTCCCTTCTCGTAAGGACATATTAAAGATCATGGTTAAAGGTTTGGTTAAAATATTTGCACAATCTCTTATTAAAAATGCCGGAATATCATCTGGCCCTCTAGTATTTTTAGGTTTTAATCTTTTAAGACTTTTAATGACATCTTCTTCTGTAAGTAGCGGAATGTTGCAACTGTTAATATTAACAACATTATCTAGTTTAGACATATCAATTTTAGACGAATTAGTGTACGATGACTGAAAATATATAGCAAATGCATTGACAATGTCTTGTGAATTGTTTAAGGGATTATTATCAAAACTCATAACATTTGGTATATTACTACAGTTTTTACTTGAGTTTATATGCTGCCAAAAGTAATTGGGGTTAGAAGATATTCTATTCTCAATATTTGTCAAATAATTCCTGTAATTTATTGAAATGTCGCGTTTAATTTTTGACCTAAGACTACTAAACTCGGTATACATTTCAACTTCTAGTATCCTTTTATACAAACGATAAAGACATGATTTTTTCCTCAAATGTACTTCTATTAAACCAAGCAGGGTATTTTGTGTTGTACCTTGGTGCAGTTTTTGGTACATTGGCGGCAATTGCGGAATTTAAGATAGAATAAAACAGATTACAAGTCTCGTCAGAAGTTGCGCATGCATTCAAACTATTCCAATTAATTCTACAGATACTCTGGTAGAGTAGAGAAATATGCTAATTTGGCATTAGAAGTAATAAAAGAACTATCGGCGGCAAAAAGATTTATATGACATTTTGTTTTCAAGTAGTAACTTAGATGTATATGATAAGCAGCAATGGCCCCAGAACAGACCCTTGGGAAATACCAGCATAATTAGGTTTTAGATATTGATTATTAAGGTAAAAATGTCGTAAAAATAAAAAGAGTGGATCTGTCAATTTTAATTGCAGAAATTGAATTATTATGCCAATATTAGAAATAAAAAATTGGATGCTATTTCCTGAAAGGAAAAGTCCCATGGATATAAAAAAGTGTCGTATGATTTTAATGTTAAAATCAATGGTAATACCATAATAAAAATAGTATTATTAATTTAAATTAATGATATTATTTTGAATTCATTGTCATTATTTTGTATATTTTAATCTTACGTACAATTTCGTAAAATAAATTATTTTTATTTTTTTGGACGTCAACAGTTGAATATACAAAAAACTACAAGAGTGAAAAGTGTCTAATTTACGTGTAGTCCATATTAAAAAAATTGTTATAATTGAATTTTAAAGAAAAAAGTTCTGAAAAAATTACCGTTTACCAAAATTACAATTTTTAACAGTTTTCAAGAAAAAAAAAATAAAAACATTTTCTCCATTTTGAGACCTAAATATCTCGACAAAAAAAAGATCCAAATTGTAAAATTTTATCCCGCTATTAAAATACGAAACCCCCTGTATGCAAACGAGTTTCAATTAAAATTAAACACTCACCGGTAATCCCTTGATAATCTCCAAACGGCTGTCCAAACTTTTGCCTTTTTTCTCTCTCAACAACATGTAGATGTTGCCGATTTTTGGACATGACCTCAGCAATTTTTCTATTAGAACTTTTCCCAAAAAACCACTGCCGCCCGTCAAAAAGACGTTTTTGCCTTCGAAAAAGTCGACGATCCGCATGATTTGAGGTACGTACCCGAAAAAAATCACCAACCGCCTTATCCAACTACTGTTAACTTTGTTAATGGATTGGCGATTTCCAATTTAGAGCGCAGGGTTGTATTCAGTCGCATTTGGTCAAAATTCGTATTCCATCCAAAAAATAATAATATTATTTAATCATATTATTTATTTTTTCTACAAACGTCAGTAAAAGTATAATTTTTAACGCATGCTGTCAGTGTTTAAAATGCCATTTTATGACACTTGTATTAAAAGTAAATAACTTTTAGCACTAGTGCTAAATTGATTTATTTTTATGAGAAAATATGGAAACATAATTCAAAATGAAGTGTTTATTCAATTAAACTGCAGCTTTATTGGCAGCTTCTTCAATTTCCGACGGTAGAAATTCATTTTCTTGATAACTTTCCATCGAGGAACGAAGAAATGAGAAAGAATAATTCGTGATTTATTGACGTTAGTTGTCAACAAAGACAAATCAACAAATTCGGTTTTTGTTTACCTTGGCAACTTGTTTTATGAATAGATTAGATGAAATTGGATTCAAAAATTGATAATCTCGAGGATATTATTTTATCAATTAATTAATGTAAAATAGGTATGCGTTAATTTGAACTTTTAATGGTGTTTGTAGAAAAAATAGTGTATGATATACGTGCTAAAAGTGATCTTATTTTGTTTGAAGGGATGGAACACTCCGCGTTCGGCGTCGTGTTCCAAACTTCCCTTCTCACAAAATAAAATATCACTTTTAGCACTTATATCATAAATAACCATTTTAATATACAGTATTTGAAATAAGTATCTAAAAAACGTTTTGAGATTTGGGTTTTTCCCAAGAAGATTTGATATTATAGAATTAAGGTTTCTACTATTATTTACAAGTTTTGAGATTTTCTAAAACTACCCTAAATCTAATATATACATAAGCTTAATACAAAATGTTCATAAAAAACTGAAAAATTATACTAAGATAAAATAAAACGAAAAATATGTAAAATATTATAATTTATTTAATATCTAAAATAATATACACAATATTAATTGGAGAGAATATAAAGTTCTGAATTGTCATCCGTTGCATAAAAAATTATTAGAGGCTCTATTCTTCTGTCAATAATATGATCAAGCTCCCACATATTTTTCTCAATTTCCATAAGGTGATTAATACATTTTTTCAATTTTTTGTCGTTACGTTATTTATTAATTAAAAAAAAAGATTTAGTCACATCTGATAATTTAAAAGTTGTGTTATTTTGAGCAACGTTACCTATATATAAATAAATATGATTTATTTTCCCTAAGACAATACAATTGTATGGGTCAAAATACAAGTAAATACAATAAAAGCAAAAAACTAGAAAATATAATAATATATGGATAGGACTTATACATCAAATTCGTAAAATTTAGTGAGATCATAAAAACAATATTCTAGTAAAAACCTTTTCTTTTAAAAATAAACAATGAATTACTTTGTTTTATTAGAAGAGGAAGTCGAACAATTTGGGCCCCAAATAATTTGGCGGATTAGATGTTACCTTGAGTCGTGCATAAGGTATACGTAGTTCGCCAGCCTGTCTGGTATAATACCTGTGTACATTTCTATTAGTTACAAACATTTCTTTGTGTTTGTAAGTGTATAGGCACATTTCAAATAAAAAATAAAAATACAACAATGGGGTAATCCCTTGAAGTATGGTCAACAAGAGTTTCTTTTTGAGATCTTAGCAATGCTTTTCAGGACCCTTTTTTAAGCAAGAAAAACATTTTTAGAATAGGTTGATTTATTTGAATTCCTAGAAAGCGACTGCCATCATTTCCATTATTAAGAAGGACATTTTCAAAACTAATCTCTAGGTGCTTAACGTTATGTTGCCTGTTATGAAATCTAAGTACCTCAGTCTTATTAGCATTAAAAATAAATCAAAACTATTAAAGTAACGTGACATTTTTTGGGCTATGTTGGATCTCTCTCTGTTTAGTAGATACGTATTTTTAGCTGAAATTATAACCGATGCAGTGGTCCGCCCCAAACGCGCGCCTATGTAAGAGTGACGCGAGGATATGTGCGCGGGAGCTACGTGTGATGCGCGGAAGACGGTCGAAGCGGGCAGTCTCACCCATAGATAAATTAATATTAAAAGATAAACCGTTTAAATGCACGGCACTGGTAACAAGTGGTAGTTCCCAGCCATACTACTTGGAGCCACCGTCGCACGCTACACATTTGGCTGATTAACTTAACAGTTAGAGCAACATAAAAGAAGAAAATTAAAAAGAAGAATGTCAAGCCTAAACGCGGCTCATTCAAATGTCCTTTATTATTTATTTACATTTTTTGGCATTCATTATTTAAAAAAAAACTAATATTTACATTAAAATACTGTATTTAACATAAATATTAGTTTTTTAAGTAATAAAACTCCAAAAAATATAAATGAAAATATTTGAAACAATAGGTATATACGTATAGTTTAATCATTTAATAAAAGTAAGGTGCATTAAAACATTTATTACATACAGAACATGTACAAATAACAACTGTAAGTGGAATTCATAGTATTCTCATCTCGTTCTTGGAAAACTGGACCAAATTTTGATGCAGGTGTCAGGGGTTTCCTATAAAAACAAAAAAGTGTACATACTTACATCTTATTAAATAATTTTTCTTATCAAAATGTTGCCCTTTTGAGTTTGAAAATTAATTTTCATTTTTAACAGAGGGTTGTTCAAATTGTTTATACTAAGTTTACGTTTGCAAATCATTTCTTGTTTTTCATTGCAGATTAGCAAATCTATCTTATTGCTACTGTGTATGTGCTTCAGCCTCAACATTTTCTAAAATCTGACTGTTTGGGTTGAGTATTGAGTATAGTTAAACTGGATGTACTATTAGCTAATAAAATTGGTACAGAATTTGCAATTAGTCGTTTATGTTTTGAAGCAATTTTACTAAAAGAATCTGGCCAAAAATGATCTTCAAAAAGATAGCGAATTTTATTATCTAAAGATAAATGTAAATTCTTAAAACAGTTTTCACGAATTTTAATATCGGAAGGATAATGAAAAAAGGTTTTATTTGAATAACCAGCCTGCTGAATATTAGAATAATACTTATTTAAATTAAGGGGCTGAAAAAGATTACTTAATTTTACCAGGGCCAGACATGTTTTCTAACAAATAGGTATATTAAAAAAGAATTGAAAATCGATCCAAAATGAATTTATACTTCGTTAAGGCTATAAGAAAACAATGATAAACAAAGTCCTTAAACAAATCTAACACCTTATTAAATTATATTGTTAATACTTACTAATTTCATCAAATCAGCACTTATCAAACTTCTTAACCTAATAATAACTTACCTATCGAAGGATAATTATATCCACAACATCATAATAACTTTTATTTTATGACGGTTTTTGTGCATTTTTCGACTATTTCGTCTTCCGCCATTCCGTTCTTTATTTTTAACGAGGTTATCAACACAGTTGCCAAACCTCTCTTTAAAATATCTCAGCAATAGTATGGCCATTGTATGGATGGTATCGAGCACGACAAAAACAAAATAAGGTGCAGCTTATGCGTTTGAATTAACTCTAATCTCATGAAAGTTTATGGAAACTGACAACATCGCTGTCATCTTATTTGCGACGGTGGCTCCAAGTAGTATGGCTGGGAACTACCACTTGTTACCAGTGCCGTGCATTTAAACGGTTTATCTTTTAATATTAATTTATCTATGGTCTCACCCTAGCAGTCTCGTCTGAACTGCAAAGGAGTGAGGGTTCAGCGTGACAACCATAAACGTTAACCTTTCGTTGTTTGTAAGATTAAAGTTTTTTTTATTGTCTTATTTGGCAATATAAATAGTTCTATATCCAGTGTATGTGTTCTTTCAAACCTCAGAACCCATCTTAACATCGAACCACTTCACCGAGAAATCATCTTCATAGCTTTTATAATGATTATCATCTATTAATGAGTCATTTACATACAGTACGAACAATATGGGTCCCAAAATTGAACCCTGAGGAATATTTAATGTATCAGAATTAATAGTATTCATTTTGTTGTCGTTTTGTACTTTTAAAGAAATATATTGCTTCCTAGCACGTAAAAAGGTTGAGATCCAATTTAAAATAGTGCCTCTCAGCTCATATTAATTCATCGGATTAAGTTACCCAAATATTTCAATTCCTCGTTTTCTGATGGGCTGTATAGGCATTTACTAATGCTGTTCCAATCAAGAGCTCAAGTGCTAGTTTGTGATACCATTTTAAACTTCTTCTGAGAGACGAGTTATAAGCTTTTACCTGATCCGACAGATCAATAAAAGATTTACATTTGTTATACTCCAAAATAATTCTTGGTTTGCTTACGTCTTGGCCTCTTTTAGGTATATTTATCATTTCATCAGTATGCTTGGTACTTAGAAACAACACATCGCGCTTATCTCTCCATTTTTGTACAGCAATACCTTCTTTACATTCAGCACCAATTGACTTGCCCTTTTTCAGGTTTCGCTGAGTGACAGACTTTGGGTTGAACTTGCGATTGCTACGTAATGTACCAACCAAATGTGTCTTACGTTGTAGTAGCTCAGTAGCTAGACTGACAGATGTGTACCAATTATCGATGAACACAGACCTTGATTTAGAAGATTACCTAGTAGATCCAAGACAATTTTGGACGGGACTAACATCTGCCCATCCTTAGATTTGCAGTAGTTAACGCTGAAATGTATACCTTTTGATCTTAATATACTGTAAAAATTTAAGTCTGCCTCGAAAGGGAACCAATGTTTCGTCGATGCAAACGTTTTTTGCCGGTATAATAGGATCTTGAAATGTTTTTTTTTTTAATTTGTCCAAAAGGGTTGTCAGTTTTTGTAATCTGTCGCCTGATAAAATACTGTTATCGCTAAAATGCAACATTTGCAATAGTAACTGAAACCTATTGCGGGGCATAATATTTCGTATATAGTTAGTACATATTTTGTTATTCGACCAATAATTTTGCAACTGATGAAAGGGACACAAACCCGTCCAAATGATTGTTCCAAAAAA